TTTTTTTTTTTTTGAGACAGAGTCTCGCTCTGTCAGCTAGGCTGGAGTGTAGTGGCATGATTTCAGCTCACTGCAACCTCTGCCTCCTGGGCTCAAGCAATTCTCCTGCCTCAGCCTCCTGAGTAGCTGGGATTACAGGTGTGTGGCACCACGCCCGGCTACTTTTTGTATTTTTAGTAGAGACAGAGTTTCACCATGTTGGCCAGGATGGTCTTGAACTCCTGACCTCAGGTAATCTGCCTGCCTTGGCCTCCCAAAGTGCTGGGATTACAGGTGTGAACCACCGCGCCCGGCTGAACACCCTGGGGCCTTTATGGCACCTTCAGGCAAATTTGAAAAAGAAGCGTCATCTTCAAGACTGTTATCTTCCAGAAAATTGTCATAATAAGTATCCAAGTAGCCTATCTTTGGTTTTTAAATAAGTTATAATAAAATACAAAAACATTTCAAAATTATAAAGATGTCTGCAGTGATGGAATAATGTCTGAGATACGGAATAAGGACACACTGTACAGCCTGAACACATTTTTCTGTCTGTAGAGCCAACCTCCTCCCTCTGACTCGTTGGAACACTTATTTTATTTTGTGGAATGAAGTGTTGCCTGATTCTAGAATTGCAAATGAGGTCAATTGAGATCTTTAAACTGAGTTTGTTGCAGTTTTGTCTTCAGACAGGGTTCTGTTCTCCTGCAGAGACTGGGAGACAAGAGGCCTCACCCTTGCTGATGATCACCTTTCAAAGGGAGGGCTCTCAGGCTTTGAGAGAGGCCCTTCTGAGTCGCAAGACATGCTTACAAACTGAAAGCTTTTTAGTAAATGCTCCAAGAAAGGGAGGTCGGGGCCTATCATCAGAAGTTGGCTAGAGCAGAGGTCCCCAAACGGGCCACATAGTAGGAGGTGAGCGCATGGGCAAGCGAGCAAGTGAAGCTTCAGCTCTATTTCCAGCTGCTCCCCATCAGTGGCATTACGCCTCCTGAGCCCCGCCTCCAGTCAGATCAGCAGCAGCGTTGATTCTGATAGGAGCACGAACCCTATTGTGAACTGCGCCTGTGAGGGATCTCCGTGTGTGCTCCTTGAGACTCTAATGCCTGATGGTCTGTCACTGTCTCCCAGATGGGACCGTCTCATTGCAGGAAAACGAGCTCACGGCTCCCACCCATTCTGCATTATGGTGAGTTGTACAATTATTTCATGATATATTGCAATGTAATAATAACAGAAACAAAATGCATTGTAAATGTTCATTTGAATCATCCCAACCCTCCCCTCAACCCATCTGTGGAAAAATTGTCTTCCGTGAATCCAGTCCCTGATGCCAAAAAGTTTGGGGACACCTGGGCTGGAGCATGGTGAGATTTCCTCACTGCACTGAGCTTTTGCAGGCGGATGTTTTAGTGGAAGCAGCAAGGGTGCAAGTGCTGCTGGGCCATCCTGGGGGTGCAGTCTTACGCTGCTGGAAGCCATGCTGGATACTTCTGTCAAGTCTCCTAGTGTGAGGGTTTGGATGAGTTGTCATGTGCTGAGGGTTCAGCAGTTCTCCGTGGGTCCCTGTCCACTTCATTGGTCCCTAATAATTGTTTCTGAGTGCAGAAACTAAATTTTAGCTTCATTTCACACATATTGCCTCTAGCCGTTTTTCTCTACTGCCTCGTCTAGCCGTTTTTCTCTACTGCCTCGTGTATTTTGGGAAGTTACAGCTTGACTGAATCAATCTCTGGTGATCCCTTTTATTCTCATAGGAAAAATCACTAAGGGCACTTCCACATATGTTCTTTAGGTTTGTCAACTGAAGAATGATGAGGTTTCCCAATTTGGAAAGAAAAGGTTTATTTCTCGTAAAGAGTTGCAGCCTGGTCATTTGGACAGGCTGGAAAGCATAGCCTCCGGCCAGAGGCCAGAAATAGGCACTTCAAGGAGCAGAAGACTAAGACGGGGATTTCACTGAATGGCTTGGCCAAATATACATACCCCCATAAGCTATACGAGAAGTCATGAATATGTATGAGAGGAGAAATGTGTGCATTCGTGATTGAGCTTCCTGCCTCTCCCTGGGTCCAGTGTTCAGAAAATGGCACTGTTAGCATGACTTGAGGGTGGAGTTTTTGGGCCTCTGACCTCCAAGGTGAAGTAGAAGACTCAATGACCCTCACTATGCATTATCTGTAGACAGACTAGAACCACGTCATTCTCTGTCGTCCGGCCAGAACCACTGCCTGGTCATTCTCAGTCGTCCGGCCAGAACCACTGCCTGGTCATTCTCTGTCGTCCGGCTAGAACCACTGCCTGGTCAATGGTCTTTCAGCAGGGAGGAATGCTGGTTAGTTGTGTCGAAACTGCAAAAATGGAAGGACCATAGTCTGGCACTTGATTGATATCAGTGGTGGAGTCTCCCCAAAGGGCCGATTGCTGTTTAGCCCTTTGGGAAGAAAGACTAATGGTGGTTAGTGAGGAAGGGGGTATAACAAGGTATGTCTGAGCTCCTGTCCAATCATGACTGGGAACTCAGTTTTCAGGCTTTCTCTGGAGTACCCTTGGCCACAATCAATTGTGGGGTTGTTTAAGTGTGTATTGGCTGGGCACAATGGCTCACACTTGTAATCCCAGCACTTTGGGAGCCCGAGGCAGGCAGATCATGAAGTCAAGAGATCGAGACCACCCTTGCCAACATGGTGAAACACTACTAGCTGACGTGGTGGTATGCACCTGTAGTCCCAGTTACTCAGGAGGCTGAGGCAGGAGAATCGCTGGAACCTGGGAGGCGGAGGTTGCAGGGAGCCGAGATTGCGCCACTGCACTCCAGCCTGGTGGCAGAGTGAGACTCCATCTAAAAAAAAAAAAAAAGGTGTATCACCTCCAGCCTCGCTCTCTCTCTTCCTCCTGCTCTGGCCATGTGATACGTCTGCTCCCGCTTTGTCCTCTACCATAATTATAAGTTTTCTGAGGCCTCTGCAGAAGCCAAGCAGAGACTGCAATGCTTTCTGTACAACCTGCAGAACCATGAGCCAAGTGAGCTTCTTTTCTTTATAAATTACCCAGCCTCAAGTATT